GACTGTTGTCGCTTGTCTGTATCCGACTGTTGTCGCTTGTCTGTTTCTGACTGTTGTCGCTTGTCTTCCTGCAGAGGCTCAGTGCTCTCCGATGCTCCTCTCCACGTTCAGCCACTTCTCTTTCTTCCACATGGCCGCCAACATGTACGTCCTCTGGAGCTTCTCCTCCAGCGCCGTCTCCATGCTGGGCAGAGAGCAGTTCATGGCCGTCTACCTGTCTGCAGGTGCTGCGCCACAAAACACCTGTCTATCTGGCCCACAGTTTGTTTCTCATACAGGATACTAGACAAGTTAATTGATGTTTACACTGATTTGATTGTCCTTTTTTTTTTTTTCAGGTGTTGTTTCTTCATTTTTCAGTTATGTGTGTAAAACGGCCACCGGGAGGTTCGGTCCGTCTCTGGGAGCCGTAAGTTACAAGACAAAACTAATCAAAGTTATCAGACTAATCACAAACCATAGATAGTAGTAAAGTAAATGATATTGTTTTATTTGAAAGCATCAAAAGTAGAGAATTACTGTTTTACAGCACAACAGCTGTAGTAGAATAATTGGTAAAATATCTGAATAATGTCCACAAAATTAACAAAATAATGTTAATCAAATATTTAAAAAATGTTTTTGAAAATAATCTGCAAATGTTTCGTGATTTTTTCTTTATTGTTGTGCACCAAAACACCAAGTTAAATTCCTACTTGACAGTGAACCTGGTTCTGATTCTCAAAGCCTGTGTGTTGACTGTGACTTAGAGGACCTAAGTCCTGGCTCTGTGGGGGACCTCAGGGTCCAGGATCCATAAACCCAGCACAGTGTCTGACCTCACCGTCTGTCTGTCTGTCTGTGTGTCTTCAGTCTGGAGCCATCATGGCCGTCCTCGCTGCCGTCTGCACCAAGATGCCAGAAGCTAAACTGGCCATCATCTTCCTCCCCATGTTCACCTTCACTGCTGCCAACGTAAGACTTGCTTCACCTGCTTCACCTGTCTGACAGACACCATTAATCTCATCCTGCCCCCCCCTCCCCCCTCCCCAGGCTCTGAAGGTCATCGTCGCCATGGATACAGCAGGTGTGGTGATGGGATGGAAGTTCTTTGACCACGCTGCTCATTTAGGAGGAGCCTTGTTTGGAATGTGAGTCTTGCTGCTGGTGTTCCAGCTTTTCTGTTGAGTCGGTGCTGTGTGGGGGGTTTGATTTATACCAATGGGAAGAGTGCTTCATGTGGATCCAGATCAAAAGGTTAAAGCAGTCAATGTCTTCCTTCATTCGTCTTATTTCTACTACTCAGATAAATGTGACGTTCTGGGATTGTTGACATTTGAAACATGACTCGTTAAACTTCTCTGGTTTTCCTGCAGACATTTAGTGGACAGACATTTAGAAGAATTATACCAGAAGAAATCAGCATTTTATTAATCGATGATGTCATTGATTTTATTCCCTCATATGTGGATCAAAGGATCGACTGTGTTACAGTAAAAGGAGAAATACCAAACTAACTAAATCACTAAAGTCACATAAACAGTAACCGATGGAGCAGCAGGAGAGCAGCAGCTCCTGAGCTGTGAGAGGTAGAGTCTCTGTTTGATGAATGGAGTCTGGTGTGTTTGTAGAGATCACGGAGAACAGCTTCAGTTCCTCATCATGAAGGTGAAGAGGAGAAAACATTCTACATATAGCGTTCACTTAAACTGATAGACAATCTTTTAAGAGTCTAAAGTACGTCCATCTACTGTAGTCAAACATTTGAGAATGCCTGTTTGTTTCAGTGACACAATAAGAATCTAATGATCAAACTAATGATCTGAAATAACTTCCCATCATGCTCTCTGTTCCCTCGCTCTCCTCCAGCTGGTACATCATGTTCGGTCACGAGTTGATCTGGAAGAACCGAGAACCTTTTGTTAAACTTTGGCACGACCTGAGAACTGGAGGAGGTTCTGGTGGAGGAGGTGCTGACGGAGGAGGAGGAGGCAGCGCCGTGTAGGACGCTGAAACACCGGGGCTGCTGGGAAAAAACAAACATGTATAAAATGTACAGAGGCCGGTTCGCTGCACTATTTGGCTTCCCTAGGACAAGGTATCGGGAAGCAAACACCTGGACGTCAAGTAATGATTCATGTTCATCTTTATAAAAGATAATTTACATTAATGAACGATTCCGATTCTTTTGACAGTTTTTTGTGTTGAAGTTTGTTTATTTAGAGAGAAATATTCTCAGCGGTCCAAGAAGAACAACAATTAATCATGATTCTGCAGAGTTCTATGAGGAATATTACAATAACATGAGGACTGTATCCAGTTCACATTAGGAGTCGCTCTGGTTCTGATTCTGAAGCCAGAAGTTCCAGTAAAGTTAGAGGAACTCAAACGCCTCTTTTAACGTGAGAAAGGATGAAGTGAGTTGTGTTTTCTGCTTATTTATGTTTGTTTTCTTTTGAATAAAACTGTAAAATGATTACTCCGACTGTCTCGAGTTACTGTTTCAAGTTGTTTCGAGTTGCTCCGTCTGTTTCGAGTTGCTCAGACTGCTTTCTTTCCTGCCAGTGCATAGTTCCACCCTCCAGTCCAGTAGGTGTAGTAATGCCAGCCAGCCACTAAATTATCAGGAATTTAGCAACTTCAATTTGCAATCACACAAACTCCAGCATATGAAAGCATTGACAAAACCCACTCACTATTTCTGCAATATAAAAAAGATTTCTGACTAAATAAGCAACAAACTGAATTGATTAATAAACTCTGTGTCCTCTGATCAGATTTGATTGAACCCCAAAACCTTCACTAAGGTTGACAGAAACGCATGACATCACATTCTACAGCTAAGCCCCGCCCACTTCAAAACAGTCAGAGAAGCACAGAAGAAGAAAAATACAGAATATCTCTTGTAATAAACAAAACTGTTTACGTTCAGAGTATTTTTAACTCGTGATTGATTTGTTCAAGCTTTTATTCTGAAGTCTGAGTTAACGTGAAGGAGTTAACGTTGAACAGCTAACTGATCTGGAAACATGAAGTCGGTTTGATAAACGGACGGTTTAAAGTCCACAAAGTGTCAGATCAACAGAAACACGCTGGTTTCTACATGTGGACCTCATGATGAAAGTTATCACTCCTCACGTGTCTGTAAGACGATGGTGAAGAGAGTGAATTTAGAAGAGAACATAAATTACAATAAATACACAACAAATATGTATCAATATGGAAAGTTTAAGTATTTTAGCATCTTAATTTCAGCTCTTTTTAAAGTTAGTTTTCAGTAAAGAGATCAGCAGAGAAACTGTCTGAAATATAAAACATTCAAATCTAAACAGGGCTATGAAATAAAATTAAGTAGAGTGAAGACATTGAAGAATTTATTATTATAAAATTGTCACAATTACTTTTATTTGTATTTTTGTCATGACAGGTACCGAGCAGCAGCGCCCTCTGGTGGACAAACTCAAGTTTAACACTTGTGATATTTCTTCTCCTGGATTAAATATATAGCTGCTTATCAGTGGTTTGTTCAGAAGATGTACATCCAATAAGAACTTTATGTGTTTGTATATATATATATATATATGTATATTTGTATATTTACAGATTCAATACATTAAAGGATCCTAAAGTGAGTTCCTAACAAACAGAGTTGAGGGTAAAACTCTGAGGTTCATGTGTGTCAATAACGTGTGTTCGCTGGTTCATTGAACCCTCATCAGACCTCAGAGGATCAGATCACAGTCAGACCAGGTTCACACTGAGACCACATCACTGAAACTAAACCGGACAAACTGCTGCAGAGAGGAACCAGAACCAGAACAGAGACCCGGAAAAAAAGCTTCACTTCCTCAGACGGTAAGAACTCCACAAATGTGGACGTACTTTTAAAAAGTGTAGATTTGACTCGGTGTGCTTATGATGATTCATTCTCTCACACGCGGCTGTCAAGATGTGAGTCACTGTGTTTAATAATAATAATACATTTTATTTGTATTACTCTTTAAAAGATACTCAAAGGTACTTTACATAGTAAAAACAGAAACAATAGAAGTAACAATACAAACAAAAGAGATGACATAACAGTAAGAACCACCACAAAAACATACATAACTAACTTTACAAACAGTTTAATCGTATTTCCTTTATTTCACAATATTGTTCATAATGATTCATGAAAGCAAAACAAAACGGGGAAACCAGACGCCAACAACTTTCCCCTGACTGACTGAACGTTTGCTGTTTGTTTGTGTTGTTTTTGTGCATAAACGTAACAAAAACCTGTAAAATCAGAAAACACTCTTGTTAATCTGTTTGTGGGTCGTTGTTGAAGACACTCACCTGTTTTAAGGTACGAGGATTCATGTGGTTCATAAATATAACTCTGAAACCCACATTAGCATGTCAACCAAAAACATAGAGGATTCAGAACGGAACCCTGAGGAACCCCACGAGGTGATTATTCACACTAAAAAAGTTCCTGTTGTTCCTCCAGCTGTTATCCAGCTGTGAGCAGCATGGCGGCGGGGTTGCAGGTCGTGGGTCTGCTCCTGGGCGTGGTCTCCTGGTGTCTGCAGTCCAGCTGCACCTCCTCTCAGGTGTGGAAGGTGAGGAGTCAGCAGGAGTCGGTGAGCAGCAGTCAGTGGCAGTTTGAGGGTCTGTGGATGAGCTGTGTCGCCACGTCGCTGGGGTCGATCCAGTGCAGCCGGTTCAAGACGGTGCTGGGACTACCGGGTGAGTCCTGAGCAATAAATCCCATGATGCATCTGTTTTTATTGAGCCGGTCCAGAAACAGAATAAATGTTTAATGGGTTTAGCAGCAGTTTGACTTGAAGTCCTGAACTTATCACTGAAATAGCAATAAAGTTTATGAATGATGATCAATAATGGGTTTTAATGTATTCACACATTTTGTTATTTTTACGCTTTAATTCATGTGAAAGGAGGAAAAATGTCTTCAAATTGACCAAATAACATTAAAACTATCATTAATAATTGTAGAGTTTAATTTAAACCTTTAATGTTATTAGTTGTTTGTTTAACACTTTGAAGCATAAAAAATGTATTAATATATTAATATTATATCACCCTTAAGATTGTCAGAAGATAATCTAACCGTCCCTGATAAATATATAAATAAACAATTTAAAAATTAAAAAATGTAAAAAATGTAAAAATGTAAAAATGTAAAAATGTAAAAATTTTAAGATTTAAAAAATTGATAAAAATTGATAAAAAAAAATTATAAAAATGTATAAAAAGAAGAAGAAAAATTTAACTTATGTTGTGTTTTTACATCCTGCTGCGTCTCCAGCTCACCTGCAGGCCTGCAGGGCTCTGATGATCCTGTCCCTGCTGGTCGGTCTGGCCTCCATCATAGTCTCCGTTCTGGGACTCAAGTGCACCAAGATCGGCAGAACTTCGGAGAAGGTCAAGGACCAGATCGCCCTGAGCGGAGGAGTCCTCTTCATCCTGTCTGGTGGGTGAAGTCATGATGTTATTGTCCACATGTCCTCATGTCTACATGTCCTAATGTCTTCATGTCTTCATGTCCACATGTCCTCATGTCGACATTTCTACATGTCCTCATGTCTACATGTCCTCATGTCTACATATCTTCATGTCTTCATGTCTACATGTCTACATGTCCTCATGTCTGTCTCCTCCTCAGGTGTCTTCACTCTGACTGCAGCGTCCTGGTACGCTGCCCGAGTCATCCAGGAGTTCTACGACCCGTTTTACGGAGGAGTTAGGTCAGCATCATGTCCAATCTGGGATTAGGGTTAATTCATATTTAGTTAATTAATAAATATTTATTTATGAATTACAATTTGCTATTTTTTGTTTGAATTAGAATCACTGAGTAGAATTTAATACTATTTTATCAGGAAAGTCAAAGATGCAGAAAGTTGATGAATTTTACTCGTTGGGATGAGACGTAGAAAAATCAAATTATTGATGAGAATTAAAGTCCCATCCATCCATTTTCCTCCGCTTATCCGGGGTCAGGTCACGGTGGCAGCAGGCCAAGCAGGCTGATCCAGACCTCCCTCTCACCGGCAACATGTTCCAGCTCATTCTGGGGGATCCCGAGGCGTTCCCAGACCAGCTGGGAGATGTAATCTCTCCAGCGTGTTCTGGGTCTTCCCCGGGGTCTCTTCCCAGTTGGACGTGCCTGGAAAACCTCCAGTGGGAGGCGTCCAGGAGGCATCCTAATTAGATGCCCGAACCACCTCAGCTGACTCCTTTCGATGCGAAGGAGTAGCGGCTCGACTCCAAGCTCCCTCCTGATGACCGAGCTCCTTACCCTATCTCTAAGGCTGAGCCCGGCCACCCTACAGAGGAAACTCATTTCGACCCAGAGTTCGCGACCATAGGTGAGGGTAGGAACGTAGACCGAGTGGTAAATTGAGAGCTTTGCCTTCCGGCTCAGCTCCCTCTTCACCAAGACAGTCCGGTGCAGCGCCTGCTTTACTGCTGCAGCCGCACCGATCCGTCTGTCGATCTCCCGCTCCATCTTACCCTCACTCGTGAACAAGACCCCAAGATACTTGAACTCCTTCGCTTGAGGTAGGCACTCCGTCCCCACCTGGAGGGAGCAATCCACCGGTTTCCGGCAGAGAACCATGGCCTCAGATTTGGAGGTGCTAACTCTCATCCCCGCCGCTTCACACTCGGCTGCAAACCGCCCCAGTGAATGCTGGAGGTCATGATCCGAGGAGGCCCGAACAGGACCACATCATCTGCAAACAGCAGAGAGGCGATCCCGAGACCCCCGAACCTGACGTTCTCCGCCCCCAGGCTGCGCCTAGATATCCTGTCCATGAAAGTCACGAACAGGACCGGTGACAAAGGGCAGCCCTGGCGGAGGCACCCACCGGGAACGTGTCTGACTTATTGCCGAGAATGCGGACACAGCTCCTACTGCAGTCGTACAGAGACCGGATCGCCCGTTGTAACGGGTCCGGCACCCCATACTCCCGCAGCACCCCCCACAAGAACCCCCGAGGGACCCGGTCGAAAGCCTTCTCCAAGTCCACAAAGCACATGTAGACTGGTTGGGCAAACTCCCAGAACCCCTCCAGTAGTCTTGCGAGGGTAAAGAGCTGGTCCACTGTTCCACGGCCGGGACGGAATCCGCACTGCTCCTCTTGAATCTGAGGTTCGACAAGCGGTCGGAGCCTCCTTTCCAGCACTCTGGCATAAGCCTTCCCTGGGAGGCTGAGTAGTGTGATACCCCGGTAATTCGAGCACACTCTCCGGTCCCCCTTTTTGAAGATGGGAACCACCACCCTGGTCTGCCATTCCATGGGCACTGATCCCGACCCCCATGCGACATTGAAGAGGCATGTCAGTCAGGACAGCCCAACTATGTCCAGCGCTTTCAGCATCTCAGGGCGGATCTCATCCACCCCCGGCGCCTTGCTACCAAGGAGCTTTTTAACTACCTCAGCGACCTCTGCCAGGGATATGGGTGAGCCTACCCCTAGGTCCTCAGGCGCTGCCTCCTCTGCAGAGGACATGTTGGTCGGGTTTAGGAGTTCCCTCAAAGTGCTCTTTCCACCCCCTCGACGATGTCCCCCGTCCGGGTTAGCAGTTCCCCCCCTGCTGAGAACAGCCTGGGGTAAGCCCTGCTTTCCCTTCCTGAGCCGTCGGATGGTTTGCCAGAACCTCCTTGAGGCCAACCGAAAGTCCTTCTCCATGGCCTCCCCGAACTCCTCCCATGCCCGAGTTTTAGCATTCGCGACCACCGCAGCTGCAGCCCTTCTGGCCTGCCGGTACCTGGCAGCTGCTTCAGGAGACCCCTGGGCCAACCAGGCCTTGAAGTTCTCCTTCTTCAGCTTGACGGCTTCCCTCACCTCCGGTGTCCACCACCGGGTTCTCGGGTTGCCGCAACGACAGGCACCGATGACCTTCCGGCCACAGCTCCTAGCAGCCGCGTCCACAATAGAGGCTTTGAACATGGCCCATTTGGATTCCGTGTCCCCAACCTCCCTCGGGATGTGAGAAGTTCTTCCAGAGGTGAGAGTTAAAGACCTCCCGGACAGGGTCCTCCGCCAGACATTCCCAGTTCACCCTCACTACACGTTTGGGCTTGCCGGGTCTTTCCAACCGGTTCCCCTGTCATCTGATCCAACTCACCACCAGGTGGTGATCAGTTGACAGCTCTGCTCCTCTCTTCACCCGAGTGTCCAAGACATATGGCCGCAAATCAAATGATACGATTACAAAGTCGATCATTGATCTCCGGCCTAAGGTGTTCTGGTACCAAGTACACTTATGAGCCACCTTATGTTCAAACATGGTGTTCGTTATGGCCAAACCGTGGCAAGCACAGAAGTCCAATAATGAAACACCATTCGGGTTCAGATCGGGCAAGCCATTCCTCCCAATCACCCCCCGCCAGGTTTCTCCGTCATTGCCCACGTGAGCGTTGAAGTCCCCCAGGAGAACTATGGAGTCGGTAGGCGGCGCCCTTTCCAGGACCCCTCCCACCGACTCCAAGATGGCCGGATACTCCGAGCTGCTGTTTGGTGCATAAGCACAAACCACAGTCAGAGCCTTGCTCCCCGCAACCCGTAGGCGCATGGAGGTGACCCTCTCGTTCTCCAGGGAGAACTCCAACACAGCGGCGCTCAGCCGGGGGCTTGTGAGTATCCCCACTCCCGCCCGGCGCCTCTCACCCTGGGCAACTCCGGAAAAGGACAAAGTCCAACCCCTCTCCAGGAGCTTGGTTCCAGAGCCAGCGCTGTGTGTGGAGGTGAGTCCAACTATATCTAGCTGGTACCGCTCCACCTCCTGCACCAGCTCTGGCTCTTTCCCCGCTAGCGAGGTGACGTTCCACGTCCCTAGAGCTAGTCTATGCTGCCGGCGATCGGCATGCCCAGGCCTCCCGCCTGACCCGCCGCCCGGTCTGTATTGCACCCGACCCCGATGCTTGTCCCTGCGGGTGGTGGGTCCACAGGGTGGCTGCTCCATGGTGTTTCTTCAGGCTGAGCCCGACCGGGCCCCATGGGCGAAGGCCCGGCATCCAGACACTCGCCTACGAGCTCCCCTCCTGGGTCTGGCTCTGGGAGGATGCCCCGGTTTCCCTGGTCCGGGCGAGGTGGCTGAAGTCCGTGGGCTACTTATCATAAGGGTCGTTTTGAACCGCTCTTAGTCTGGGCTCTCCCCTGAAACCTGTTTGCCTTAAAGAGTTAAAGTCCTGTGATACAAATTAAAAGTTGGATTCAAACAATTACTTTGATGAAATTCTTCATAAATATCAATCAGGTTTCCATGTGAAATTAATTTGGATTTTTATTATCATTTACAATATTTCTTTTTATAATTTACTCTCATACTTATTACTCAAAGTTGTTGTACTTAAAGTGTAATCCATGGTATATTATGTGTAACTCTGTTGCCGTAGATGTTTCTAAAGTAGCCATTGGTCCCATTGTTTCGGCTGTTGGATGTGTGAGTCACTTCCTGCTGCTGACTCTTGACTGCTTGCTGGCGCTGCAGGTTCGAGCTGGGTACTGGTCTGTATCTGGGCTGGTCGGCCTCCTGTCTGGCCATACTGGGAGGGTCTCTGCTGTGCTGCTCCTGCAGGAAGACTTCCTCCGCCGCCTCAGCACGGTACATGTTATGTGTTCGTTGGGCCTCGTTTTAATGACAGAAATACAGAAAGAGGTCCACAGTTGATGGTTTTTTTTGCCTTTAAGACGAGTTAACTACTCACTCCGCCGCTAGCTAACGTTAGCTTTCATTCAGTACTCGCTCTCTGACTGTCGTCCATGTGTCCCTGAAAACAAAGCTGTGATTTATTATCTACAGCTGTTATTTCAATGTGTCAGATACATGTTGATTCAATATTTACCAGCCCAGATAGTTAATACTAAAGGACTCAGTCCAGAGATCCTCAGCATCGTGTGTGTTTTTGGTTGTAAATTATGAAATCTCCCGTTTTTCTCCTGCAGGCAGTTTTCATACAACTTCTCATCTACGAGTCAAGGACAGAAGATCTACAGAGCAGCTCTGGCCTCAGACAACAGCAGCTCCAAAGCTTACGTCTAAAGCGCCCGACAACCTGAATCCAGATCAGCTTGTTGGATTTTATTTTTAATGCAAATTTAAATGTTTTTTAACGAAAGGAGTTTTATTGTGAAGGGAACCATTTTCCAAACTGTCCTGGTTGATTTATTTTGGAAGTGCTGTAAATAAATGTTTCCTGAATCTGTTTGAGTGTTTTTCTCTCAGGTTCTTCAGACAGAAGCAACATATCTCAGATCAGCTCTTGGTCATGAGAACTGCTGCTGTGACCACACGTCGCCATCTTGGTTTTTGACCGTCGCCATCTTGTCAGAGATCTCTCCTCGCTCTTTAGAGCAGAAATAAGAGGTTTGAGACGACCTTCAAGATGGCAAAGAAGAATAATTCCAGTTCAAGTGAGGATCAAGGAAATGACAAATAAGAGACTTGGGATGTGACCGGTGTCCCAGTGTGTTGTTAAGTTATTGTGAAGTCATATACAGCGTCTCTACGTCACTCCTCCTCAATGCACAGATGTTCACTGGTTGCAAAAATCCAAGATGGTGATGGCAAATTCACCATACTCAAGGTCCACAAACCAGATGACGTCACGATGACCACGTCCACTTCTTACACACAGTCTGTGGTCATGACAAGCAGAACGTCCTGGTTGGCAGAGACATTCTTCAGCCTCAGCTGTAATTAGCTAATGTTGGTCAATTTAGAGAACCAAAACTCAGAGAAAACAGATTGTTTTTAAATATGTCTCCACTAGGGGTGTAACGGTTCACAACATTCTCGGTTCGGTTCAATACGACTCAGTGGTGCCACGGTTCGGTTTGGTACGTTTTCGATACAGCAAAAAAGCAGAAATGCCAAATCCTTGCTGGTGAGACTCTCAAGGGGGCGTGTCTGAAGAACATGGCTCCTCCCTCTCAGTAGTGAGGTCATGTGTCGTTACAGTCAGGTAGCTTTGTGTAGTCCGTGACGTCCGGCTGTCTGTCAGAGCAGCAGCGGGTGCTTCGGACAGTTGATTCTCTGTTTGGACTTTTGTTTTCTTTAACAAACATTATGATCTGGAGAAATGGGCTCGTGAAGGAGTAGTGTCACTGAGCTCAATAGCATTAAGCATGTTCGTACAGCCTGGTTTATCAGTCAGAGTAGGTCTCATATCCACGGCTATTAATTGATCTTTAGTCCTGTTTGAATCAGTAGGGAGCAACTACCTAAATGCTGCGGGGAGAGTTTGTAGCGTGTGTGCTGCTGTTGGTTTTCCTGCTAAGCTAGTTTAGCATAGCCTCCCAGAACAAACGTTGGCTCTCTTCATTCCACTCTGGTGGCTCACCAGAGTGGAATGTTGTTCTTCCGTGGTGGGCGTGTCAGGCAGCACGTTGTCTGTTATGTGGTGGGCGTG